AGAGACAAAAGTTTTTTTCCCTTTTTCCTTTCCCCGGGGTGCCCGGCAGGCCCCGCAGCCCGCGGGCAGCCGCGCCGGGCCCTGCGGGCGCTAAATCCGCGCGGCGCCCGCGGGGTCCCCGGGGCGGCTCCCGGGAGCGGCCCGTCCCGTCCCGTCCCGTCGGCGGGGGAGGCCGCGGAGCGGGTGGCCCCCAGGCGGACCCTCCTCCCGGAGCCCTCGGGGCCCGCGGCAGCCCCAGCGGGACCGGGACCGGCCGGCGGCTTCAGCCGGCGCGTGGGATCGGCCAGGAAAAAGCCGAGGGAGAAGCAAGAAGGTGATTTGGGGCGGATGGAAGCGAGCACCTGAAAGAAGGGGGGAAAATGAAAGGAAGGGTGGAAAAGGAGCCCTACAGGAGGGCAGGATGGACGCTCGTTTCGCCGCACGTTGCGAAGCCAACGGCGCGCTCGGCAGCGACAAAAGTTTGGTCGCCGTGTCCAGAGAGTCGGGGGCTCCCGGTTTCCGCGCGCCCCTCCGCGGAGCGGGAGCCGGGGGTGCTGGGCAAGAGGGGGACGCGCTTTCGTTAAACCCCGTGGGGGGCAAAAAAGGGAAAAGAACCCGGAGCAATAGCAGTGCTAATAACGAGGCGGTGCCGGCGGGAGCCGCGGGCGGCGGCGGCCGGGGCGCCCCACGGCCGCCCCACGGCGCGGGGCTCGGGGGTCCCGGGGGGGTCCCGCTCCCCCGGTCGCGGGGCTGGCGCGGCCGCCGCCGTTTATGCTAATGAGGCGCGGAGGGCGCGGGGGAAGCGCCGCGAAACGGGAAAGTTTCTGCCATTAGAGGGAGATCTGCGAGCGCGCAGGGCGCCGCGCGAAGCCTCCGCAGCTCCGAGAGGCAGCGCCGCGAAGCCGCTCTCCCTCCCGCGCCGATCCATGAAAATGCTCTGGAAGCTGACGGATAATATCAAGTATGAGGAGTGCGAGGTAAGCGCCTTGTGCCCCGCCACGCCGCAGCCTCCGTACGCATCCCAGCTTCTTATAGGGGAAAAAAAAAAAAAGGAAAAAAAAAGGGAAAAAAAAAAACTTCCCGCGCCGTTGCCCGGCTCCTTGGCAGCCCTGCAGCTGGAGAGGGGCTGCGGGTGTATCCCGGGATTTTGGGGGCTTGTGGAAAGCCTGCTCGTCGCGAAGTGTGTGGGGAGAGGCAAACAGGACRGAGGATGCAGCATCAGCTGCCTTGGCTGTAGGTAGATCCCGTGTAGATAAGGCTCTGTAGGATGCTACACTCATCCATATGGATGGGTGGATGGATGGATAGATAGATGGATGGATGGATGCCTGAATGAATAGACGGATGAATGAATGAATGAAAGGGCAAAGAGACAAAGGGAAAAGAACTATCCTTACACGCTAGGTACCCGAGGCGTCCCAGTAGGATGGCGCAGGACCAGCTCTTAAAATCAGCATTTTGGAGGGAGCTGCGTGTTAGGTAACAACAAGCTGGTTTTTTTTTTTCTTTTTTTTTTCTTCCTGGGGTCGGTTGCTGGAGTGAAAGCAGGGGAGTTGGAGCGTTATCATCCCAACATTTTAATTTCCAGGGATTCACTCTCATGCCTTTGAGTAGCAATATTTTAAACTCTTGGGGGAAAAAAAAAAAAGAGAGAAGAAGAAAAAAGAACAAAAGGAGAGAGAGAGATAAATTTAAAACTACCTAATTTTGTTCTGGAGCAAACGGCATGGCGCATAGATTGGGTTACATGCGTGAGTGGATGCGCATCCAGATTATCTTTATTATTTTTATAGAGGCGAGTGTCTATTAGTCTGACCAAAAAAAAAAATCATCAAAAGCCCAGAGTGGTGCCCGGGACCGATGCCCGATGCCAAAGCAACGAACCCTCGTGTCGCGCGTGTCCCCGAGCTGCCCTCGACGCGGGCTCCCTTCGCCGCGGAACGCGCTGCGTGGGTCGCCCCGCGCGGGGAGGCGCCCCCGCCCCACGGGCGTTTCTGGGCAGGAAGGGGGGGCCGCTGCCGTCCGAAAGCACCGCTGCTGTTTGCGGAGCCGTCSTTAGGGCAGGAGAGCGACTGCGGGCTCGTCTCGCTCTCCGGGCTCTCAAATAATCCGTATTTCAGCCCTAGATCGGGCGGTTTGGGGTGAAGTTGTTTCCCGGAGCGGGAGCCGAGCTCTGAGATCCGCGGCTGTTTGGATGCTTGATTTCTAGCCATGTGTCAGGGTGTCGGAGGGTTGCGTTCAATTTTACTTTATTCTTTAAAAGGCGGAACACAGAATGCTCGGCTGGATTTTGGGACAAAGAGCCTTCCAGCCCCGTTCTGCTCCGCAGGGCGGGCGTTTGGCCGCTGGCGCTTCCCGGCCGGGGCTGCCGGTGCCCGGCGCGAACGGGACCGTGCCCCGAGGTGCCCCGTGCGGCGGCCTCTTGCCGGGCTCCCGTGTCGCCCGTCGCCGGGTCCGGGCGCCGGTGCGCGGCTCGGGCTGCCGGTGTCAGCCTGCGGAGGGAGGAAAGGCGCCTGGCTTGGCAGGACCTGCCTGGGGAAAAATGACAGCAATAATAAAAAGGATGGGTAATAACGACGGTGGTGATTCTGAGAGCGGGGCAGAGGCCGCGCTGCGCTCGCGGTGCGGGAGGCCGCGGCGGGCGGGCGCGGGGCCGGTCGGGGGAGCTGCCGCGAGTTGCACATCCAGTCGGACGGGTTGCGCCGCGGCCCCGGCTTGTCTGGGCCGGGAGCAGCGCCCGCTTCGCCTCTGCCGCCGC